CTCCGCGGAACGCGGCCCGGCGAGCCGGGAGCCCCGGGGCTCTGCCCCGCGCGGCCTTCGAGGGCCGGAGGCTCTCGGCGTTCCCTGCTTCCACTGGAGCCTCGCCCCCGTCCTTGCTCCTTGCCGCCTCCCTTGTCGGTGCCTCTGTCTCTGGGGGCACCCGCGAGTGTCTGGAACACGCCTCCGTTTCTGTCTGCGTCTCTGTTTTGCTGTTTTTCTCTCTGAGTTTCTCCCTCTGGATTTTTCCCTTTGGTTCAGCCTCTTCTCCTTATAACGCTGTTTTGGGCTTCCATCTCTGCTTCTTGCTATCTCTGTCTCTGTCTCTCTCTCTCTCTCTCTCTCTCTCCATTTATGTCTCCTCTCCTCTCTTCTCCTTTCTGTCTCTCTCTTCCCTTCCCTCCCCTTCCCTTCCCGCCACTCCTCTCCTCTTTATATCTCTCTACCCCTCCTCCCTCTCTTCTCTCTCTGTCTCTCTTCGTCGCTCTCTGTCTCTCTGTGTGTGTGTGTCTCTCCTCTCTCTTTCTCTCTATCTCTCCTCTCTCTTTTTTCTTTCTGTCTCTCTTTCTCTCCCCTCCCCTCACTTCCCCTCCTCTACTCTCCTCTTCTCTTTCTCTCTCTCTCTCCCCCTCCTTCCCTCTCTTGACTCTCTCGATGTCTCTGTGTCTCTCTCTGGCTCTCTCTCCCTCTCTGTGTGTCTCTCCTCTCTCTCTCTTTCCATTTGTCTCTCCTCTTCTCTCTCTCTGTCTCTCTCTGTCCCTCTCTGTCCCTATTTCCGTTTGGGTCTTTCTCTGGATCTTTCTCTCTACCTTGACCTGTGTATGCATGTGTGTGTGCCTACCTGGTAGCTCTGTGTGCACGTGGGTGCGTGCATGACCATCTGGTGTGTGTGTGTGTGTGTGTGTGTGTGTGTGTACCCATGCATGCCCATCTGGTGTGTGTGCATGTGTGTGCCTGCCTGGTATATGTGCACATGTGTGTGTCCTCACTGTGATTTTGTCTCCCAGGGCAGGTTACCCAGTGAACTGTGCCTCATTGCCTAGCCCCCACTTGTGGGCAGAACAGGGAAGGGGACTTCCTCCGGGAATTTGCTTCAGACTACCTCAGCTTGTGTGTGACTGTCCAGATATCCCCTGTGGGTGGCGGCTCACACCACAGCTCTGTCTCTTGTCTCAGGCAAGCTTGCCTCAAATGCTGGGTGGATAGAGGCCACTCTAGGCACCTCTGCATCTCACTCCATCTTCTATAAGTACCCAGAAAACATCTCTGCCAACCAGGCAATGATGCGGTTTAGGGGGAGGAGGAGGAGAGTATTTTGCCTGGGGAACACCTAGTGTCTCTTTATGCATTTTGAGCAACTGTGTGAGTCTGAGCACCTGATACCTTGAATTCTTTTAGAAAGACAATTCCCAGATGCTTTTCTAAAAGACCCAAGTTTGACTTCTCTCATCCTTCCCTCCAGGCCTGGGCACTATTTAAAGGAAAGTTCCGAGAAGGCATTGATAAGCCTGACCCCCCAACCTGGAAGACACGCTTACGATGTGCTCTGAACAAGAGCAACGACTTCGAGGAGCTGGTGGAGAGGAGCCAGCTGGACATCTCAGACCCTTACAAGGTCTATAGGATTGTTCCCGAGGGAGCCAAGAAAGGTAAGAGGCAGCCCCATGCTTGTGGTGCCTGAATTTCATTCTGAGGGTCTCTTTCTATTTTTTCTCCTTTACTGCCTGCCTTCCTTCTCCCTCATGGTCACTCCCAGCAGCTTGCTTGTCCAGGTCACCTGGGCCATGAGTTGAAATTCTTGTGGTATCATCAGCATCTGAGAATTTCTCACACTCTGAGCCTTAGTGTGTGTGTGTGTGTGTGTGTGTGTGTGTGTGTGTGTGTGCATTGAATGTATATAGGCAATATTTCAAAAAAACAAAAAGCAAAACTGAAACACTCCTGAAAGCTTTACTTAGCTAATAGTCTTTAGTGAGTCACGTTTTTGTAGGAGGGAAGCCATATCCATCCATCGTTACTATTTATGGCAATAAACATGTCGACTTTTGAGACATGGTCAGCTGAGGTATTAAAATTCAGATTCTTGAGTCCCTCTTTCCAAGATTCTGAACAGTGTGTCTGGAGCAGAGCCCAGGACTCTGCATTTTAAACAAATCCCATAGGTAACCTCACTTGGGAAACATTTGGCTGATGCAGAACTTTATGTCACAAGGCACATTTGCCACAGTTGTTTATTTATTTCTCTACTTGCCCTGTAGGATCAGACCTTGTAGAAAAGTCAGTTTAATGGCATGAGCAAGTGACAGCCCAAGGGAGTTGTCAAAAATGCTTTATTTGTCAACAGTGTGTTTTGCATTCGAAGAATTAAACACAGGTATTTTTCTTAGGTTGAACATTAAGTCAATTTCTCTTTTCCCCAAACACGCAGGAGTGAAGCAGCTCACTCTGGAGGATCCACAGATGTCCATGAGCCACTCCTACTCCATGGCAACTCCCTACACCTCCCTCCCTGCTCAGGTAACAGTGGAGGTGCCAGGCTTCCTAGGGATGGTGGTGGGGGCGGGCTGGTGAGGCCGAGTGAGCCAGTGGCCCACCCAGGGGGAAAACACCAGGCAAGGTAGCAAGACTCAAGATTTGCTGTGACTAGAGCAGTGACAATGCAAGTCCTGGTCACTGAAGGCACGTCTGGCTCTCCACATGCTGCTGTGGCTGGTCTGACGTAGGGGAGGGCTGGGTGTGTCTGCCCGCCGAAATCCACTTCTTCCATGGCTTCTCAAGTCTTCTGGGAAACAGACCTTTCGTGGAAGTGGAAGGCTTTGGAAGTGGTGCTCTATCATGTGAAACCACAGGACAGCTGACCTCCTCGGGCTCTCCTGATATGAATGACAGCTTTGTTTTATCCACTTTGGTGGGTGGAAAAAGGCAGATTCCCCTGCAGTGCTTTCGGTGCCAGGTTGAGCCATATGATGAAGCTTTCCTTGAAACCTTACAACAGTGTCTCCGTTGTGCTGATCCTCACAGCCAGTGTCCCCTGAGTCTCTTTAGATGATAAAATGATCTGGCCACCAGCCTAATAATGGACTTCCTGAGGAGTTTGGAAGGAGACAAATGCACCCCCTCTGTTCCCCATGCCGAGGGCTTTACCTCAGCTTCCCCTGTGTTCCTTCAGCAGGTTCATAACTATGTGATGCCAACCCTCGATCGCAGCTGGCGGGATTATGTCCCTGATCAGCCGCACCCAGAAATGCCATATCAATGTCCTATGACGTTTGGACCCCGAAGCCACCACTGGCAAGGCCCGGCTTGTGAAAATGGTAAGGGGGCTCCGGGGCATGAAACAGAAGTGCTAACCTGGCCACAGGCTACAGGGAATCCTGGTCTGTTCTCCTGGGCCACACTGCAGCTTATGTCCCATCTTAGAGGCTACTGGGAAACCCTGGTGTGGGCAGAGACAGAGTAGGGCTTCTCAGGATCCATACTGGGCACTGCCTTCTGTGGACTCTTATTTAACCACCACAGAGATCACTCTAGGCAGCCAAAAGCTGCCCCAGGGAAGCTCACAGAATGTAAGTAGGGACACAGAAAATTTCTGATCTGGTTTACTTCTCTTGCCCAGAAGTGTGTCTTGTTGTAAAAGGTGGTAATAAGAAGGGGTGGACAAGCACCAAGAAAACACAAGAGATGTCTCCACAGGCACCTGGCTCCTGCTGGGACCCGGGAGATTAGATACAAGATTATATAAGTGCCCGGACACCAGAGGCACTTATCTGCAGGTGCTGGGAGGATTTCACAGGGTGAGTTCAGCAAAGCAAAATGTAAGGTCTCAGGACATTGGAATTAGTTATTTTATCAAGTGTTAGATGGATCCACACACGGATCCTTCCGGGTGTGCTAGGAATATATTTGCTCCTTCATAGTGTGGCCAGTTGACCTTTTTTCCAAGAATCTGTGGCTTCACATACTGGAGAAAGGCACCATAATTTCATGTCTATGATGAGGGGCACATTTACAGAAAGGGTGGCTTGCAGCAAGGGCTGCTTTCCCACATCGCAGTGGAGGAATCAGCTAACATTAAAGCAGTTTCTGAAATTCAGACCTGTGTCCAGGGCTCCAGCTCTACTAAACCAATAACCACTGCAAAGAGACAGTTTAAAAGCATGCAAGAAGATGGAATGGATAGATTTTGAAGCACAGGTAACACTAAGTAAAGTACCAGCAGAATTGGGTGTTCTGTTCCATGCTCTTTCTCTGTTCGTGTTTGATGCAACACTTTCTCCAGGACACATGACTCAGTTTGCTCCCAAACCCGGGAGCAGCAAGAAAAATAAACACGGACTAAGCAACACGTCAGTTTTTAACTGGGCTTTTTGGTGTCAGAACTCATGTAGACCTGGGCTTACAGCTCTGCTGTGAACTTGCCATGTGGACAGGGGACACATTACTCCATCTCTCTGAGCATCAGTTTGTTTGTGGACTTTGGAGCCAGAGCTTTGAGTTTCTTTTCAGAGCTCTGCAAGGACTCCTTACCTCTTCAGCTTTGGTCTTTCCTCTGGTCTGGGGCTTGTCTTTGCCTCACAGGCATGTGCCCTGCCAGCTGGCCTTGCTGGGAGTGGGTGGAAAGGCGGGAAGGCACTGGCCCTTTCATCCCAGGCTTCATGCATACCCCATTGGCCGTCCAGCCTTTGGCCTCTATGTAGACATCATCTGATTTTCATTTGCAAATGCAGGTTGCCAGGTGACAGGAACCTTTTATGCTTGTGCCCCACCTGAGTCCCAGGCTCCTGGAATCCCCACAGAGCCAAGCATAAGGTCTGCTGAAGCTTTGGCGCTCTCAGGTGAGTGCAGCATTTGGTTCTGGAGGAACCATGGGAGGCTAGCCTCTGCTCCCCACCATCTTCTGTTAGATTAGATGAGATTTAGACACTTGCTTTTCTCCTCCTGGGGTCTGGAGTGGGTGTCGGTGCATCCTGTGCCCTTCCTGGGTGTCACCGCTTTGAGAGACTAACTTGTGATGCTAGGACGGCTCCAATCACTGCCTGAGTCCTTGGCAGCTCTTTGCATTTCCAGGAACGTGAGACACTAGTTTCCTTTCCAAGCACCCCTCTTCAGTCAATACTCATAAGAGTGATTTCTGAGAGACATGCAAAGGCTTCTTATTTTGAGGATCTGGCCATCCCTTCAAGTTTAGCCATCCACAGGCCCCCTCGCTGCTCCCTGGGTACATTAGTTCAGGGGACACGAGATCTGATCCCTTGTCTCCATAATGTTTGTATGCCTGAAAGTCATGTGCACTTTGGTTTTCCTCTGAACTTTAATACAGCTTACAAACACATATGGAGTCAACATAATTTTTTAAGATTCATTTCTTAAAAAAAAAAAAAAGTGAATTCATTTTACCTGCTGTAAGGAAGGCACCTCAAGGTGCCATGCATATGTGAACCACAGAGATTTTACCTGCTGTAAGGAAGGCACCTCAAGGTGCCATGCATATGTGATATATGTTTGTTTTTTAGACAGTACTTTTACAGTGTTTTTAAGTAGCATTTGTATTTATATTAAAAACAAACAGCTTAAGGTTTGAAATTTTCACCTTGCCCCTGGCTTTTTTAAAAGTCAGCCACAGAAAATATGAACAAAATTCTAGGTGTTTCAGGGAAGCGAGAGTTGTAGCTCCTAGCGCTTTCTGGTTCTGAGAGGCTCCTGAACACCTGAGGATGCCTTTGGGAGAAGGGGCAATCAAGGAGACTAGTGTTTGTTTTTAGAAGCTTGCAAACCTTTTTCTTTGCACCTAAGACTTGCGTGGGTGCCTGAAGAGTAAGAAATAAACAGCTATTTATATCTCTACAACCTCGTGATTTCTGATGACATTAAATGAAATGAAACCTGCCCTGACAGTCACCTCAGATGGCCGACACCCACTTGCATGTGCACTCTCTGACTCGCAGTCAGCAGAGTGTTGGAGTGAAGGACTAAGATTGTGATGTGGGTGAGGACTCAAGACCTGCCACTGAGGAATAAGAGGGTTCTGTGGGTTTCTTTTTTCGGTTCATATAATGCAGATTAACTGTCAGTCTTGAACATTTATCAAAGAACTGTGAGTCTGTTCCTTTGGGTTCCTGCAGTCTACAGGCCAGGTCTCTCCCTTCAGTCTAGCTCAGGAGCTTGGCACACTGAATTTGATCCCTTTGGCCTGTGGGGGATATTTTAAAGGGACTTTTAAAATCAACAAAAGTTTTGTAAATGGATTCACTTTATTTGAAGTTTTAGAAAGCACAGTTTTAGAGTTCCTTTCAAACTTAAACACAAAGTCTAGTGAGAATTCCAGCAGACTTTACATTAACTCTTAGAGCATTTTTCTCATTGATTTCTTTCTTTTTGGAAGAATTAACTTTATGATAAAAGCAGCACATGTTCAGTGCAAAAATCTAATTTTAAAGTCAGAAAAATAAAAATAGAAAATAAAAACATCACATTCCACCGCCCAGAGATCACCATTAAGGCCTTAGTGCGCATCCTTCAATGTATATATATAAATAACCTAAATGACATAATGTTGATATATTAAAGAAGTTTCAAATGTGTGGACATACTTGCTTTTGTCCTGAAATACCTTTATACATTTTTGCTTTGGTTCATCTCTTCCAAAATCAAAATTGGTTTTCTTAAAGATGAACTCTAATCAGTGGCACATGACTTAGTATTTAGATATAAATGTTGTCACCGCTATCATCATCATCATCCAAAAAAAAAAAAATGTCTTAGCAAGGCAAGTTCATTTCTTAACAGTGGTTCTCTCTACACATATTTTGCAGAAAATTAATGAAATATATGTGTGTTCCCCCCCCCCCCAAAAAAAAAAGAGTTTGTGGCTACATCAATTTAGAAGATGCTGGTTTGGACAGATTACATCATTTTCTTTCCTGGATCTTCTCTGTGCGCTAGCTGGGTCCTCCCTGTCTGTGAATCTCCATGGCATTTCCTAGACTTTCCTGACCCTGGAACTTGCTACTCTTTCACGAGCATCTGGAGACACTGGTGTCCTGCCATATGTGCTCTGTTCTGGGCATGTCGTTGTGGTGTCCTTGTCCCTTAGCACTTACTCCAGAGTTCTGTTCTGCAGACTGCCGGATGCACATCTGTCTGTACTACCGGGAAATCCTGGTGAAGGAGCTGACCACGTCTAGCCCTGAGGGCTGTCGGATCTCCCATGGACACACGTATGATGCCAGCAGCCTGGACCAGGTGCTGTTCCCCTACCCAGAGGACAACAGCCAGCGGAAGAATATCGAGAAGTTGCTGAGCCACATGGAGAGGGGTGTGGTCCTCTGGATGGCCCCTGATGGGCTGTACGCTAAGAGACTGTGCCAGAGCAGGGTCTACTGGGATGGGCCTCTGGCCCTGTGCAGCGACCGACCCAACAAACTGGAGAGAGACCAAACCTGCAAGCTCTTCGACACGCAGCAGTTTTTGTCAGGTAGGTAGTCATGGCCTGCACAGGGGCAGAAATAACAGGGCCTCCCACCCAGGCTGAGGTCTTTCTTTTGAGAACCCCAGAGTGTGTCAGCCGATCCCAGCATAGGTCTCCCACCTGCCTCTGTCTTGACCCCTCCACATTCACAGAGAGCCACCGAGGGGGTACAGATTGGATGGCCCAGAACATCTTGTGATTCTGGGTTTCACCCAATAGTCAGGTGCCCTTTATGGGAGTATGATCTCGGTGAGCATGTCTGCTGATGCAGCAGCTCTTCTCAGACCCCTAGAAAAACTGTAAGGGCAAGGAGTAGCTCATGAATATTCTTAGTTGTGAGATATGTCACTCTAAGGCAGATGCTGCCCAGGTGGGGCCAAGGATGGAGTGTGCTGGCCTGATTTTGCTTGGGAAGCTATGAGGGCACTTTGAATTGTCTTTGTGATATGATTGTTTCCAATCTTATTTTTCAGAACCAATAAGTTTTCTTTCCCTAGTTCTGATTTCATGATGAGTCTATGAGTCCTAGGCTGGCTTCTATGGAGCCATGAGCCAGGTTATTCTTGGGGCTTCACCCAGAGGACTCACTGAGCTGTCCAGGTGAGGGCCTCCTGGGAGAAGAGCTGCTTGACCTGCCAATGCATGCCAGTGCTTCCTCTGCCATGTCCCATACCTGTGACTTCAAGAGGGCCCTTCAGAAACACCCTGAGGCTGTGGTTCTCCATGCACCTCCCTTTCTGCACGTGCATCTCTATTTGGTTCATTTGAAATAAGAGCATGAAGCACCTATGTGTTCTGGCACAGCCAGCTTCTGCTCAGCCTTTTGGGTTTCAGTGGCCCACATTTGTGTAAGCTTATCCAAGTTGTGGCACCCAAGGCAAATATGTCCCTAGATAACTAACACAGAGGCTGACAAAAGGAAGAGGGAGACTGTTGGGTTCCCTGAGGCAGCAGCAGGTGAGGGAGGCACCTGGGGGTGAATGCCCTCGTTCCAAACAAAGGAAACCATCCAAGCTTCTCTCCTATCCACTGTGGGGCAAGTGTGGTGCAGGGGAGGGGGTGGGGGGTGACGAGGAAGAATGAAGAGCCACTGAAGGGCATCTCCTATGTATGCCTGAAGGGCTCGCATGTGTCCAGGAGGCTGGGCCCTACTGAGTCTCAGTTTGTTCAGTCTCTGAATCTTGGCATCTTTGGTTTCAGAAGACACCACAGGGGGAGGGCATTCCAATTAAAGCATCCGCAGAAACTGGTACTTGCTTCTCTGAGTATCTCTTGCTGCCTTAGGAGGGGAGAACCTCCCTCCCCCTGTTGTGACTAAGACATGAGGTGCATTTGAGTCAGGTGCACTGTGTGAGACAGGAGCATGGGCAAGAAAGGGTACCTGTGAGCCTCCTCGGCTATGGATTCACTGGCCTAGAATTTAATACCTATCTGTGAGCAAGAGGTCTCTTGATCTTTTCCTTCCTCTGTAACTGCGGACTTTTGCCCAGTGCAGCCTCTCACCTCAGAGACTCGCTGAGGTTAAAGAAGGGTGCTGTGAACTTAGAAACTGCAGCTGTGTAGACCAGTATGTGTATAATGAAGGAGTCCCGTGAATGTTCTTGTGTTATCAAGAGTTTGAGGCATGACTTTTTTTCAGAGGATTGTGCCAGCTTGCCACCCTGGTGAGCTTGTGTAGGTGTGGTCTCAGACCATGGTAGTGTGAACATATATTACACATTCTGACTAAGTCATTTGGGCTTGATTTGAATTCTGGAAAAAAAAAAAAGCAGGAAGTCAAATAATCCTTTGAGCTAGCTAGAAACTTTTTTTTCAGTTGAAGAGAACAGTGGAAATCTTTGATATCTACCCATTCAGGATTTGCACGGCACTTAGGGACAGCCCCGAGGCGCGAGCTTGAGGGTGCACATCTGATAAGGATTCATCCGCAAAGCTGTTCTGCAGAAGCTGAGACACCTCAGCAGCTCCTGTGTACATACTTTTTTCTTGCAGACAGAACATTTTACTGTAGCTACAGACAAGAGTCACCTCGTGCGTGGGTAACCTCAGGGATTGGGCATGTCTTTTCAACAACGCTCCAATCTGTTTTGTATCCTTCAGATAGGAATGGTGCCTTAAGGATGTGTCTGTCCCCAGGAGTGAGGCCAGTGGTGTCACCATTGCCCTGCTCATCTCCAGTAATCTTTCTGTCCCGAGAGGTGGGCATGAAGTCCACTCACAACCACACAGTTTAAGGGTCAGACCTGTGTGCAATGGGACACAGCTGCTGCTTGCTGGTGCTCAGTTGATGTTAAACATTTTCTGTGGTGCCTAGGGTATGTAGATGTCCTCGGTATCACAGATACTAGATTATGTGGGCTCTGTAGTTGGGGGATGAGGCTTTAAAATAATGCTGGGATGTCAGAACATTCTGGTTTTTTTCAGTGAAAATTTTTTCTTTGCACAACTTGCTCTTTAACACATCTGCATTCCTTGTTCTTTTTCTCCCAACTTCACTCCTGTCTGCTTCTTTGTGCATCCTCAGGGGCCCAGTACTGCAAAGCAGTAGGCCAGACGCCCTTTGAAGGATCAATGGAAACTGCGCATCTGCCAGGGGAAGCCCCAGTGTGAACCTGTGCATGGGACTTGTATCTGAGGTCCGCATGTTCAGGCCACCCCCCCCGTTACCCTTCAGTCTTCAGTCTCAGTGTGCTCTTGCTTCCTGTTTAAAGTATTAGGATGAGGGTTTCTGAGCATGGGTTTTTTTTTACCCCCTCTTGGGGGCTTTTCTAGAGCTGCAGGCATTTGCCCACCACAGCCGCCCTCTACCAAGATTCCAGGTGACCTTGTGCTTCGGGGAAGAGTTTCCAGACCCCCAGAGACAAAGGAAGCTCATCACAGCTCACGTGAGTATTCAGTTTCATTCACATCATTGAGATTTTCTGTTCATTATAAAGGGTAGTGTCCCCCTTAGAGAAGTCCCAAATGAAAAGTAAATGTCAACTGACCTGGGAGATTGAGTGTTACCCTTAAAATAGCCTGAGAGGAAGCATGGTCCAGTGAGCAGCACAGCCCAGGGGCCACATCCTGCTCCCAGACTCAAGATCCACTCAGCACAGAACCAGGGAGGACACCTTGAACCCAGGGCTCCATGTTCCTTATCTTTTAATTTTTTTAGGGAAATTTTAATATTTCCATTTTATAGAAATTTAAAAGTATTGACATTAAAAGTTACCCCTTAAAATTCTCCATGTCTAATGTCACCTTAAATATGCTGTCTAGTTAGTAGATCTTCACTGGATGGAAAAACTTTTCCTGAGTAGGAAGCTGTCCATACACTGCCGCATTTTGTAGGTCCCTCCAGGTGTCACCCAGCCCCTTTTTCATTTCTGGAATTTTAGAAATTATTTAATTATGGACATGTGCTATTTGAAAGAAGCTAAATATTTCAAGGAATTTAAGTAGATCAGACCCTCATAAAATTCTCTAACATAAAGAAAAGAAAAAAGACTTATAAATAATTTTAGCATTATTTTTCCATAGAAAACAGAATCTTGAATATCTAAAATTTCTCCATTTGGAAATTTGACATTGCTACATGCTTTCAAGAGTTATTAATAAACCCAGATAGTGAGCAATACCAGGTAAAAAGTTATAGCCCATAATATCAAAATTTGCATCATATTTTAGCTCTGAACATACTTACTGAAAACTGCAGTGAAATGCTATCGAATCTTGACATACAACCCTCTCTTCTTAATCATAAAATAAAATCAACCAGCCAACAAAAATGTAATCCATAGACTTTAGTTTTTTCATGAGTTCTCTTCAGTGATTGGCATATAATTGATATGACTATTGATATAATCATGTTTTTAACAACAGGAATTATTAAATGACTAGATAAACTTGGCATTGATGAAAAACATTTAAGAAGTTGATGATCAACTCTTGCAACAATCTGACTCTACATGTTACTTGGATGTGGCAGATCTAACCTAGGCAAGGCAGGGTTTGCCAGGCAAGGCTCTCCTGGAAATGGAGCTATATGGTCCATCAAAGGAATATATACATGTGTACACCCATGAGTTCTACTTTGTAAATTATAGATTCAATTCATTTCCGGTACTGTCTTTACATAGAAGTTATGCTTAAGTCATTATTCATCAAATAAAGTAAAAACTTTTTTTGAGTCAGAGTCTCATTTTGTCACCCAGGCTGGATTGCAGTGGCATGCTCACAGCCACAGCAGCCTCGATCTGGTAGGCTCAGGCGATCCTTCCGCCTCAGCCTTCCAAGTAGCTGGAACTACAGGCGAGTGCCACAATGCCCAGCTAATTTTTTGATTTATTGTAGAGACAAGGTCTCACCATGTTGCCCAGGCTGGTCTTGAACCTCTGGGCTCTGGCAGTCCTCTTGCCTTGGCCTCCCAAAGTGCTGGGATTACAGGTGTGAGCCACTGAACCTGGCAAATAAAGACTTTTTTTTTTTTTTTTTGAGTTGGAGTCTC